GCACCACCATCCAGACCAGACCCAGCAGCACCACCATCCCATAACCACTTCCAGCCCACCATCCATAGTCTCACCCCAACCCCACCACCTGCTCCCAGCACCAGACTCACCCCAGGGCCATCGTCCCCAGCACCACCATCCCAGCATTAGACCTGTCCCCAGAACCACCATCCCAGCATTGATAGTCCCCAGCACCACCATCCCAGCATTAGACTCGTCCCCAGAACCACCATCCCAGCATTAGCTCGTCCCCAGCACCACCATCCCAGCTTAGATCAGTCCCCAGCACCACCATCCCAGCATTAGACTCGTCCCCAGCACCACCATCCCAGCAGCACCACCATCCCAGCATTAGACCACCATCCCCTCCCCAGAATCCCGCCTGCCCAGTACCACCATGACACCCCCTCCACCCCAGGAAGGCACCTACGAGACTGAGTACGTCCCGGACCATCTACCTACACCTGAGACACCTCTCACTGATGACCTCAAGTGCTCAATTCTTGCCCCTCCGCCCCCCCCATACACACACAGCTTATCAGAACACGTGCGACAGCTAGACCACTGCACCACCAGGTTCTAGGACTCTCAATTCCATCATTATCCATTGTCACGGAGCCTCGGGAAGGTTGACCTACAGTTGGCGAGTGACCCCAATGACCAGACAAACTCCCGAGTGAAAGTTCTTTACTAAAGTTCTCCTACAGGTGTCGCAACACACTGTCAAGCACACGCGGCGGCAACACCTTAACATTAAACACAAGATCAATATTATCTGCGTTGTGAATGTAATCGGCTTTGTTCCACACTAACCAGCGCCTCCCTCCTCGTGTCCGACAATGGCACTCATTATAGTCGTCAGTAATCACGCCATTATTCTCCAATCACGTAAAAGTAATTCTCCAGATATGCGAGGGCGTGATTTATACAGTTACGCCCACGTGTGGGATACATCAACACCTGTGAGGTATAATGAGGGCGTGGTGTGACAGGCGCCGCGCCGTGGGTGAGGACCAATCCCAGCGACCCTCACCACGGGACGGTCTCGCCTCCCTGATGCAACTCTCTCGTCACACAATCAACAACCGATTGATTCCGTGATGTGACGCAACGACGGAGGACAAGGGGAGACTAGTCGAGGTTTTCTTAACTAACCCCCTAATAAACACACGTGTGTGTGTGTGTGTGTGTGTGTGTGTGTGTGTGTCAAACATATACTAAAAATTTCTCGTTGACGAAGAGGCTATAGCGCCAACACGGTCCACTGGTGGCCAGCTCCGCTATTCATTATTTATACTTCTGTAAGAGCTATGGTGCGAGGTTAGTGCTAGTAACCATTAATGGTCTAAATATCTCAAATAAAACACAATAATATTCATAAGAACATAAGGAGTCTGCAATAGGCTGGTTGGCCTGTGCATGGCAGCTCCTGTCGAGAGTTACTACCACTCTCTATCATCCATGAATCTATCTAGCCTCCTTTTAAAACTTTCCAGCGTTCCAGCACTGACTACAAAGTTGCAAAGCTTGTTCCACTCGTCCACCACCCTATATGTGAACCAGTTCCTTCCTATCTCCCTCCTAAACCTAAACTTATCCAACTTAAATCCGTTGCTACGAGCCCTGTCCTGCTCGGATATTATAAGAACTTTATCTATGTCGCCTCTATTGATTCCTTCCACCCACTTAAATACTTCTATCATATCTCCCCGCACTGTTCGTCTTTCTAGGGAATGCAAGTTTTGTTTCTTTAACCTATCTTGATATGGAAGGTTTCTAAGTCAGGAGTGTTGGTGCAGTACAGTACATCACCACCCGGCCGGGACGTCCTGCTCACACCAACATACACACTAATGTTCTCCTCGGCTCACCTTTGCATTAACTACCGTTTTATATTCATCTGCTAACTCTCTGTATTTACTTAAGTATGAGAGTATGATAATGAATATGACTTTCAATATATATACATACATTATATATTGTGTGTGTGTGTGTACTCAGCAACCTTGCCACCCATTCATTATAATATCAGGCACATCTCATAATTCCCATTGATAAACACAGCCACAGCCACATCAGCGTTACGTCATCGCCCCCCTCCACGTAGCTGCCACCCGCCCTCACCACTATCAGCTCTCTCACACACACACCGCCGTACAGGTATTCCCAAAACCCACCCAATACCAGCGTCCACCCAGTCCCCCCTTCTACCTGTGACAGTCTCGACCCTTTCCTCCATCCATAGTCAATCGATCTCTCTTCCTCCTCCTCCTCCCATATTTCTCCTTCCTCGCTTATTCACCCCTTACTTTATTTCCATACTTCTTAAACTAAATCTCCATGCCTCTCTCTCTCTCTCAATCTGTGGTTACCCTCCTTCCGCCACTTCAAGAAGCGACTACGGCCACAAATAGGTTTCCCCGGAGCCCAAACGACTGCCTCATTTCCATACCTCCAGCCGCTCGCAATCAACCAATCTTTCATTTATGCTAATACTGTAACAAACTTCCCCTGCCGCGCCTGAGAAATGTTCCCTGTATAAGAGTGTAGCTCCCAGCGGCTGTGTTTCCTAGTCTCCCATGTTTCTTTGAGCTCTCAGTCCATAGCGAGTTGTTGAGAGATACGAGTTCCATGGTTGTGTGCTGGGGGGGCACTCATAGGACACACACACTCAGGCACTTCAACACTCACCTCGGCACTCACAAGAGGTACACAACACTCACTCGCTTCAAGGCACTCACAAGAGGTACACAACACTCACTCTTCAAAGGCACACAACAACTCACAACACAACAAAGCACTCACAAGAGGTACACAACACTCCAACCACAAGAGGCCACAACACTCCACTCCTTCAAGGCACTCACAAGAGGTACACAACACTCACTCTCAACAGCGAGCTTCAGCCATACGCCTATGGACGTTAATACGAATAAACTTGTATTGGGGCTCTTCGCACACACACACACACACACACACACACACACACACACACACACACACACACACACACACACACACACACACACACACACACACACACACACACACACACACACACACACACACACACACACACACACACACACACACACACACACACACACACACACACACACACACACACACACACACACACACACACACACACACACACACACACACACACACACACACACACACACACACACACACACACACACACACACACACACACACACACACACACACACACACACACACACACACACACACACACACACACACACACACACATCTCTCACCTCCTGGAGAAAGTTGAACTAGCCAAGTATACAGTGTGTTTAATCCCCCCTCACTCTTCCTATTACAGTTATTTATGTATATTTTCCCCAGTCATCTTCCAGCTCTCTCTCTCTCTCTCTCTCTCTCTTTCTCTCTCTCTCTCTCAAATATTAACCGCCTGCCTCTCTCACTCCCAATCGCTGGTTACAATCGGCTATGAATCGCATATGACCTAATAATAATAATAACAATAATAACAGTAATAATAATAATAACAATAATAATAAAAACAACAATAATAACAGTAATAATAATAATAACAATAATAATAAAAACAACAATAATAACAGTAATAATAATAATAATAATAATAATAATAATAATAATAATAATAATAATAACTTTTAAGCTAAACGTTCCCGGGCGGTGGGTGGATCATGCAAACTTTGCTGTGTTACAAGTTATATAGAAAACCCTATTCCTTGCTTCTATAGTATGTAATTTATCTTCGCTACCAGTTTAACTTCATCTCCCTTGTCTTTTATGTATCTTAGTCTAACTTCAATCTCCTTGCTTCAATCGTTGCCAGTTTAATTCCTGTTACTTCATTTGTTATGGGTCGAACTTCACTGCCTGCTCATTATCCAGCTACCACCCCTAGTTCCTCCACACAACGTTCCCACCCCTAGTTCCTATTGACAACGTTCCAACCCCTAGTTCCTCCACATAATGTTCCAACCCCTAGTTCCTATTGACAACGTTCTCACCCTTAGTTCCTCCACACAACATTCTCACCCCACTACCCACCCCACTATCCACACAACGTTTCCACCCCACTATCCACACAACGTTCCCACCCCACTAGCCACACAACCTTGTACCCCCCAATGTGCATCTTGTCTGGCATCCCCAAGAGGCTCTCAGCGATAAACAGTTACCTAAGCTACTCTATCCTTACCTCTGTCAGATGAACAAAGGATAAACGTTTAAATTCACCAAACATTAACCCATTAGAAGGTTTAAAAAAAAATAAATAAAAAATTAATAAATCCTCACGCATGTCCACCATAGCCTTGAATACTTGGGGGATTACCACTACACCCCCGTGACGTTAAGGTTGACCGCCACCACCGATAGTTATGAGATAATGAACCTTACCGAGGTTTTCTTTCCCATTATCATCCTCCAGCTGGCTACAGTGGGGGTCAGATTTATAAAACCTTTCTGACAATAATGCGGATTCACAATTGACACTGGTTGTATAATCTGAAGGGAAGGGAATCAAGATATGAAGACGGCCTTGGCGCCTATAATGCTATTGTGATTGTCGGGGTGGCCTTGGGAGAGTGGCAGGACTGACGGTGCTCTCGCCGCAGGTATTCCTGGGAAAAGATGTCGATATATTGGAGTTTGTTTATTCTTATAATTATAAAGAGTTGAGGCTGTTGGCTTATTTCCTGCCGCTGCTGAAGGTCAAGCTTTGTGTTTATATTAATACTTCAGGGTCTTACAGGTCGTACAGGTGGGGTCTTACAGGTCGTACAGGTGGGGTCTTACAGGTCGTACAGGTGGGGTCTTACAGGTCGTACAGGTGGGATCGTACCTGTGGGGTCTTAGCCTGAAAATCTATCATCAGTTATCACCCTGAGAGGCGAGGGTCATAGACTGCTTCGAGTGGATTACAATTACAGTAATTTCAAACAATTACAATTATTGCTGTGGTCTGGCTGCAGGTGCTCGTCCGGTTGACTCATCGACTCATCTAAACTGAGGAAGGGCAGAGTGGTGTCCGGACCTTGTCGTATACACAGGTAAATAAGGATAATGGTTTAAAATTAAGGCAACATAATTAACTACCATCTCACTGTTGACTGGACAGTAAAGGTGAAACTCGACCTTTAGCAAGGTAACTTACCTGAATGTCTTGCAGCTATAGGTGATGATGACGATGACGACGACGATGACAGCTGTGACGACCCCTGGGAGCCATCCACGCCCCTACTCCACGCTGCCAGCCGCCCGCCCAGAGCCCGGAGAGCCACGCCCATCCTCCTAGCCACGCCCGACACTTCCCGCCCCCCGGAGCCTCCAATAGGGGAAGGTGGAGTAGAGGCTACGTGTCCCGCCGAGCTGCCCCCCGAGTCACTCTCCTGGGGCATTAGATGCACTGTCTTGGGAGAGGAGAGGCCCCCCTCAGCAGACGCCTGGGCGGCGGCCAGTGTGTGCGCTAGTAGAGCGTTGGTGCCGTGAACGGGACAGGTCGGGGAGACAGTGGTGGGCATGGGGTTGGGGGGTGGGTGGTAGGAGTGGTGGACTGGGCTGCTGGGCACACTATTGGGGGGGAAATCCGACGCAGGGGCGCTCTGTGGCCGCTGGGTGGCGTTACAGAGGGCGGCCAACTGGTCCAGGGCCGAGGAAAGTCGAGTGAGGTCCCCAGCCCATCTGGTATCTGTACCCTCAGCATCACGCCCACCACTCATAAACCGCGACTCATCACGCCCATTCACCGCCCATACATCCTCAAAACCTTCATCTTCTTCATCCTCGAAGCCGGCGACATTCTCCTTGTCAGTGGCCGGTTGGCTCCTGGCCCGGGGCGGCCTGGCATAGCGACCAGCTAGGCGCTTCACCGAGCGGGGAGACCTGGCCAAGGGCGGGGGGTTGTGGGGACGCTGGGTAATGGGCGCCTGCAGGGAGCCCAGCGGACCATTGAGCCGTGACTGGAACACTCCCCTCAGACTCCGGGCGGCGGAGACGCGGGCGTGAGCAGCGGCTGGGTTGGATGGCGCTCGGAGGGGTGCCAGGGGGTCCGAGAGTAAGTCGAGGTGACTGCGGATCTTGGGAGGCTGCAAGTTGAGGGCTCTAAGCGCCTCCGTGTGGGCCGCCACACCTATAGCTTCCTCCTTCATCACTACTGTACACTGTTACCTTAAATTACACTGAGAGATATACCTTAAGTTACTAGGCTTATTATTACTAGTGAGGGAATCGGCTGATCAACACGAGACTACACTACTTCTTCACAAAGCAGACGTGACAGCTCTAATTATTCCTCCATTAGTTCACTTCCTCCGTTACTCACAACTGATTGATCTCAACTTTTTTTCCAAAATTACGTTCGTGCTAAAAGCGTATGTCACTGTTTAGCAAAAGCTGTCAATCTTTTAGCTGTTGTCACTCCCTAAAAGATGGTGTCAGGGATGTGTTGGCCGGGTCCTTGTGTAGCAGCAGAGCCTGACTAAGGCTGTGTGGGAGAGCAATTGACAGCAGACCTGGCGGGCGGTGCGGAGGAGCGAGTCCTGAGCTACGCCCCTGTGTGCTAGTCACCCACGGCTACAGGACGCGAATTCACAGGCCCACTTGCCTACTCACTCAGTATCTCTGACACCATCACAGGACAAATAAAACATTATATGAACACAAACAACACAATATTTTCACGTTTGTCCACTGTATACTGATTATACCAACGGAGAAGATTATGTAAATGCTTACTACCGGTATATATATATATATATATATATATATATATATATATATATATATATATATATATATATATATATATATATATATATATATTTATTTATATTTATATATATATATATATAAACTAGAATGTACTTTGAGATAGGTTACGTTACGATGATGTAAATAGGAGCAGCAGGAAGGGAAATATCAGGCTTCACTTGGTGAAATAAAGCCATCACGACCTAACATAATCACCATCATTATCACCATCATCAAGCAGCAGCGTGAAGCAGCAGCAGCAAAGGCAGGAAGTACTGGAGGGAGGGAGTGAGGAACTTGCCTCGTCACCTCCATTACCAGCCTTTCCAACGGCAGGCAATGACAGTCAAGTTAATAGGGCTACAACACTCCCCCGCTCACGTCATCATTTAGAGCACAGGGTTTTTATTTTCATATATAATTGGCCACAACGCTCCGCTGCCCCACGCCTCGAGAAGGTAGTCAACTAGCACACAGTGTCGGTCCCAAGTCCTTCAGGTGCCTGCCATTTGTAAACACTTCACCCGAGCGTCTTCTACGGCCCGCTACAACACAACTTACATCACTAGGAACTGTCTCCGTCATGAATATACATCGACCAATGACCTGTGTCTATCCTTCGCACATAACACACACACAAAGACAGACAGACATACACGCATCATTTATATTCAATAACACCGGCAAGCACAAACACTGTTATGAATTAAGTGATTCTATTGAGACGTGTGATAGAAAGCAGGTGAGGGTGGCGACGCCTTGTGGGTGTCTCCCTCCCTCTTACACCACAGGCGGGCGGTGAAGGCGTGAGTGTCACTAATGACCCCCCCAAATGATCTCTTAGCCCATAGTCACGACCCTAAGGCCACATGCCACCCAACCACGGCCTCACCCACCCTTCCATACCTGTCCTTAATTGCACACGTTCTTAAGTGCGTTTACACACACACACACACACACACACACACACACACACACACACTGTATTATTTGTGTGTGTATGTATAAAAACTAAGACGGTATCATCAAACGGTGGAGGAACAACTCGAGCACCAAGGACAAGGCGACTGTTAGCACCGACCAGAGGAGGCTGACACAAGCACAGGTGAGGCTCTTGAGTAATGCCCCACAACATGACGTGCGTGTTCTCCCGAGCCTGAGGACATGAAGGTAGTCAATTATGTACAACAAACCCGCCATCAAGAGAACCAATTTTTTAACACTGCAGAGGAGGAACAACGTGCTCTCTGAAGGGCGGAGTAAACGACAGTCAGCTATCCTCCAAGCTAACTAACTGACAGTCAACTATCCTCCAAGCTAACTAACTGACAGTCAACTATCCTCCAAGCTAACTAACTGACAGTCAACTATCCTCCAAGCTAACTAACTGACAGTCAACTATCCTCCAAGCTAACTAACTGACAGTCAACTATCCTCCAAGCTAACTAACTGACAGTCAACTATCCTCCAAGCTAACTAACTGCAACTTATCTTCAAGCTAACTAACTAACAGTGATCTATCCTTCAAGCTAACTAACAGCAACTTATCCTTCAAGCTAACTAACTAACAGTGATCTATCCTTCAAGCTAACTAACAGCAACTTATCCTTCAAGCTAACTAACAGTGATCTATCCTCCAAGCTAACTAACTATCAACTATTCAAGCTAACTAACTAACAGTCAACTATCCTCCAAGCTAACTAACTGACAGTCAACTATCCTCCAAGCTAACTAACTGCAACTTATCTTCAAGCTAACTAACTAACAGTGATCTATCCTTCAAGCTAACTAACAGCAACTTATCCTTTAAGCTAACTAACTAACAGTGATCTATCCTCCAAGCTAACTAACTGCAACTTATCCTTCACGCTAACTAAAAACAGTGACTTAGGGGAATCATTAAACACAATCATCAACAATAGTATAACACCATCGCGTAGTTATGGTTACTACTACACAATCCACAGTCACTACAGCACCACACTGGCCGGCCCATCACCTGAGAGGCTTGTGTATGTCCACCTCACTATGACCCCTCACTATCACCCCAAGCGAGACTGCCGCGGTCCGTCACCATAATGTACGGGGGTAGGGGGGGGTATAGTGTCCACCACAAGAGTCACCATCACCTGTCGGCGGCAACTTTCTCCCGCCAAGACAGTGTTTGAGGCATAATACTGCACCACAACCAGGCACCATCACGGCCAGCTCGGACACACTTTCACTCACCGCCACCATAAACACCAGACGATCTTAACAACCTAAGACAATTGTTCACTTTCTGTTCTGTTGGTTCGTGTCGTTAATAACAGCCGTAAACCACCGCGGTAAACAAGGCCATTATGGAGTGTACGAGTCGTTAAGGCTTATTGAGATATGCGCCCAATGTATTAACTGAGACCATTAACGTGATACCTGTCCCATATTGCCTCATGACCAGACCACAGTACCGGGGCCCATGACCAGTCCAGACCACAGTACCGGGGCCCATGACCAGTCCAGACCACAGTACCGGTACCCAGGACCAATCCAGACCACAGTACCGGGGCTAATGACCAGTACCGGGCCTTGACCAGTCAGACCACAGTACCAGGGGCCGAGTGACCACAGTACCGTGACCAGACCAGTACGGGGCTAATACCACAGACCACAGTACCGGGGCCAATGAGACCTACCGGGGCTCCTGTCAGACCACAGTACCACAGACATCACACCACCCGGGGCCCGCGACCAATCCAGACCACAGTACCGGGGCCAGACCGATCAGACACAGTACCGGTCCACTGAGCCAGTCCCACAGACCGGGGCCCATGGTAATCAGACCACAGTACCATACCACAGCCACCACAGTACCGGGGCTAATGACCATCAGACCACAGTAATGACCAGAACCACAGTACCGGGGCCAATGACCAGTCAGACCACAGTACCAGGGTAATGACCAGTCACCACAGTACCGGGCCAGGACCAATCCAAACCACAGTACCGGGGCCATGACCAATCCAACCACAGTACCGGGGCCATGACCAGTCCAGACCACAGCCGGGGTCCGCGACAGTCGACCACAGTACCGGGGGCAATCAGCCACCGGGGTCCATGACCAGTCCAGACCAGTACCGGGGCTAATGACCAGTCAGACCATACCGGGGTGCCCATGACCAGTCAACCACAGTACCGGGGCCCAGACCATCGAACCACAGTACGAATGACCACAGTACCGGGGCCCATGACCAGTCAGACCACAGTACCGGGGTAATGACCATCGAACCACAGTACCGGGGCCCAACCACAGCACAAAGGCCCTGATACCAGGGCCTATGACCACCACCACAGTACCAGGAGCAGTGACCGATCCGGCTAGACCAGTCCCAGACCACGGTCCAGACCACAGTACAGGGGGCTAATGACCAGCCCACCACAGTACCGGGGCTAATGACCGTCCACCACAGTACCGGGCCTGACTCGAGACCACAGTATCAATCACTTTGACAGTCCAGACCACAGTACCGGGGCCATGACCAGTCCAGACCACAGTACCGGGGCTCATGACCAGTCAGACCACAGTACCGGGGCTGACCGTCGACCATCCAGACCACAGTGACCAGTGGGGCCCTTGACCAGTCCAACCACAGTACCGGGGTAATGACCCAGTCAGACCACAGTACCGGGGCTGACCAGTCCAGACCACAGTGCAGGGCTCTTGACCAGTCCACCACACTGGGGGCCCATGACCAGTCCAGACCACTACAGGGCTCCTGACCAGTCAGACCACAGTACCGGGGCCCATGACCAATCCAGACCACAATACCAGGGTGCTCATGACCAGCCCAGACCACAGTACCGGGGGAGCTCACCAGTCCAGAACCACAGTACCAGGGGCCCATGACCAATCCAGACCACAGTGCAGGGGCCCAGACCCTCCAGACCACAGTACAGGGCTCCAAGCCAGGTCCCTGACCACATACAGGGCTTCAGCCAGTCCTGAACAGTACCGGGGCCCATGACCAGAGTACCACCGTCAGACACCCCTGATCAATCCAAACCACAGTCCCATTCCAGACCACAGTACTCTCAGACCACAGTACAGGGGCTCAGACTCAGACCACAGTACAGGGCTCGCGACCAGTCAGACCACAGCAGGGGCTCTTGACCAGTCAGACCAACAGTACCAGGGCCCATGACCAATCCAGACCACAGTACAGGGGCTCATGACCAGTCCAGACCACAGTACCGGGGCCCATGACTGGTCCCTCACATGGTTCACACACTCTGCACACCATCAGTCACAATGCACTTACAATATCACTCTCTCTCTCTCTCTCTCTCTCTCTCTCTCTCGAACACACACACAGAGGCATTATAGCCCTGTAATGACACCCAGGCTACACACTACAACACAAGAGCTGACTCACTCCAGGCAGACAAAGTGTTCGGGGCGACGCGGAGCCAAATTAACACAACAAACGAGCATCATCGGATAATATGTCACTATGGTCTGTGAGAGGGCGGTGGAGAGGGGAGTAAAGAGGGAGAGAGAGGGAGGGAGGTGGAGGTGAGAGGGAGATGGAGGGAAAGGAGGGAGGCAGTAGAGAAGAGAAAAAAACAGCAATAACTTGGATAATTCTTTGGTGAAGGGAAATTGTAGTGAGTGACTATGGAAAGAGACGATGGACAGAGGAAGAAAGTAAGAAGAGGCGTGAAAAGGAGAGGAATTAAGTGATAAAGAGGGGGTGTGAGGTAGAGATGATTAAGGAGAAGTATATAACAGCGACCCCTTAAAAATAAAGGTAAGGTAAGGAAGGAAGGAAGGAAGGAAGGAAGGAAGGAAGGAAGGAAGGAAGGAAGGAAGGAAGGAAGGAAGGAAGGAAGAG